TCTTTAACATAGTCCCAGGGCCGGTGCTTTAAAGAGCAAACGTATAAAACACCAGAAAGGGAGCTTCAATGCTGAAAATGAACCTGAGATACACGTCCATCATTTACCTATTTAAAAGTATGCTTCTAATAGAGCAATTACAGTATTGTCATTTTGTGTGTGGTGAGTGTACCTCTCTTTGATCAAAAAATTCCCCAAAAATTAAGCAATTTTCACAGCTAGAAATTTCTGCAACTTGATGAAATATTTTGACTAAATCTTCATAAAGTTTCAAATTTTGATGAAGAAAACAGTCAGAATAAATTCATATTAATTATGAGAAACCATACTCTAGCACCAGCCATACATGTAGCTGTCTTCTTAAAAAACAGCTATGAAACAAAACAGCAACAACTATCTATGTATTAAGTTACAATTAGAGATTGTTTGCTATTTTGTACTCACCATTGGTTGCAAATTATCTATATTTTTTTTTTGATTTGTTTTATATTTTAATAAGTTTTTTTTAGTTTATAGTTTTAATTTTCTTTTTGTAAGACCTTTTTTATCCTTTCCTAGGGATTTTATGCGTCTAATAAATATAATTATTATTATTATAAAAATTTATGGTTTTTTGTATGTTTTTAACAAAAATTAATTAAAAAATTAATTGATGAGACAGTATATAGATATAATAATCAAAATTCCAGGCACATCTTTGAACACACGCAATAAATCATGTTGCTCATTTCTGAAGTACTTTAATACTCATCATGTGTGTGCTTTGACTTCACGAATATCAACGCTAATCGTCAAAATCCTGACAGTATCTGATGCTGCATGAATAGATGATTTGTTGCTACGCGACTGATATTATTTTTTTATGTTGTGGAGTAGGAATCAATTTTTTTATATTTCGAATAGCAATCAGACCAAATTTCCTCTCATTATTGCAATAGACGCACACATATCGATGAGGCAGAGAAAAAGCAAAATAAAGTAGTGTTGGTTGTAAAAACAACCCAATTTTATCGCCCCATTATTATTGAAATGTCTTTAGGGAAAGTGCATTGACCTTGTAGACACTTATAACAATACTGATTATTTAAAGTGCTTTCCAATAAAGCACAACACATACACTTGCAATTACTCATCATTGAAAAAACCTGAAGAGAATAAAAGACAAGGTTACATACCAGTAGCTTGGCACTGATGTATTTAGTAAAATGTACACAGGTGCAGACAAAGTACACATAGGTTGTGTTCACATTCTTAACACGGGCTAAGATGTCAAAAACGTTAACATGTGCTATAAAGAAAACATGCTCAAATGTGTAGCACAGCGTAAGTACAAAATGTATGAGTTAAATCTGATCCATTTTTAAAACCTAGTTCTGACTCTTAGCACAGGATAACAAAGTGTCCACGAACGCTTAGGTCGGGCTGAGCCCCCAAAACATTGTATTCAATGTCTATTTGGATGATTTACTACTATATTCATAACTATTCATTTTGGCATGCCATTTCTGACATGACAATCAATGCAAGCTCATTCTGAGATGTTTTTTCTTGACAAAAAAAAAGGACTGATCATGAGACTCTGTAACTTTTTTATTCTGCAATCTGCACTTTTTGGATTTGCAGTAACATGTTATACAACTGTAATTTTGGTGTTTGGCTTTTTTCACATATTCATTCAAACTGCTATAGGTATGAGAGTATGAACTTAAGTGTGTGTGTTAGATAAAAACGTTTTCACTGTATTGTGCCGCGGTTTCTTGTAGTACCAGTAACTGTGATTGTATATTTACTCAATGGGAGAATGTATGAAAACCCATTGAATAATTAATCTTTTTACAGTATTTTGTGAGTCAAACAAAATCATGAATATTCATGAATTCTCACAAAATTTAAGCGAGTTCCAGTGTTTATTGCTATATATTGCTAAATTTGTGATTAAATTCAAGCACCTGATTGGCTACCCCAACGCTAACACCTAATGGTTAGACCAATCAGAGAGGAGCTTGTTTGTTGACAGCTTTTTGTTGTTGACAAATCAGATTCTGCTTTGTATAAATGCTTTGACTCGAAAAAGATCAGGACCAGAAAGAAATCATAATCGTAAATAAATACACCTGGTTTTAAGAAGGTGTGAATTTGTTTTATAGACAGTCATAAGTATTTATAAAACATTTATTTCGCTTTATTCAAATCTAAAAAAATATGATTTCATTTAATTTAAAAACTATTTGGTAATGCCCATTACCCATGAGTCTTTGCCATTGGTTGATTTTATACTTCCATGAATGGAACAGATAGATCTTATCAACTTAGGTTACTTGTAATTATAGTGATTTGTTTACTGAGATAGATTTAAAGTGAGAGGGTCGTCACCGGGAATTGAGTCCCAAGCAATGTTAACAACACACACTAAAAATGCAAAGGCTCATGGGTAGACACTTGTTTGTAAACAATGACACGCTATGGCCATCTAATGCATGCGCAGACGACGACTAGTGCCATTATCGTTTGGTACAGGATGGTGGGTGTCACTCGGTATATGTTCAAATTTCATGAAAACAAACAATGTATTTTACATGCGTTGTGTATGCTGCTATGAGTTCCATATCGAACAAGATGCGGTGTGACGACAACCGCCCTTTAAATTGTGAAAACAGGGTGAAAGGTTAACTCACAGCAGAGAAGTTCATACAGACAGTACTCATTCTCTATAAAGGCTTGTGATTGGTCAAATCATTTTCATTCGTCATTCAAAATTTTTAAACATTTAGAAATATTATGTATAAAACAAATTCACACCTTCATGAATCTCTTAGAACCATAGCATAGGATAAAGTATGGGGTAGTTAACATGATAGGAGTAAATCATTTAAAAAAAATGCAATGTTTGTATTATCATTCTCGGCTACAATGAAAATGACGTCTGTATGTGCACACCCATTTAAAGTTCATTTGAGAGGTTGGCATGTGAACACACACTCATAAATTGACAGAGGATCAGAATTCAGTCAACTAAATTGAAAACTAACGAGTAGATGAGCTCTTTATATCATAAAACATGACACGGTTCATCAATCTTGCAAGAGTTTAAACTTCAGAGACCGTAAACTGTCAGCTCAGGTTGTTAACCAGAGTGAACATGCATTCCGACCTAGTTGATAGAATCAGTCTCCATGAAAAAGGCTTTACAGAATTTATCTTTGATTTTTCTGATTAGAGTTTTACTGTGTGTACATCATTTCCGAACATAATAAATCCCACACCACTGTTGTCATTGTTTAAGCTGTCTCTCTCATCAGGAGTAAAATAATGTCACCAAATTTTTTTTTTTTAATTCTGTTCAGATTTTAATCATGCGTCAATGACGTACATGTATCAGGAATTTATTTTAAGAGTTACACCGTAAATAATCTCTGTGCTTCACTGACGTGTTGTATCAGTGTTAAGGTGGAATATACGATACTCAAAGAATAAAATAATATCCTTTCTTTATTTTTACACATATGACATATCATGTTACAAGGATAAAGCAAACTCTTATGGGCATACATGTATAATGAACTTGTCCAAAGTGCCCACCCCCAACTTCTGGAGTTTTCTGTTTTCAAGGCCAAATTCAAGTCATGAAACCTAATCATTGAACATCGTTTTACTTTTCCAAACATTCAGTGTCCATCTTGACTAGCGTGAATGCAGTGTGATCGGGTAAACTATTCAACATGATTCATTCATGGTCACTGTAGATGTTGAATACTTCTTCCACACACAGTTTACCTTTCAAAAATTGGGAATTTCTTTTTTTTTTTAAATCATGCATTATTTTGGTCAAAATCAGTGCTGAGAAATTGTGAAAAATGCCACCTTCAGTATTTGGAAATTTCTGAAAATTTTTTGTCAGTACAACACAGCATGTTAATTGGTTGATAACATACTTGACCTGTCACGTCAGAGGGCACTGTGTCGGCCAAATTTCACAAAAATACATGGTGGAAATTGCTTTGCAACAAGGGTTTGCAAAAAATCAAAAACATTCAACTAAGATAATGATGAATCTTTTGACCATTCTTCCACAGACCTTATTAATAATTTCACATAGTAAATTCTGATGGTACATGTATATATATGTAATAAATATTGTAATAAAATGTTACCGTGTGTTATCAATGTACAGGGTTGAGAAAATTAATGACGATAGCAACTCATTTTGCAATTTTATTTCCTCAAAAAAAGACACACTAGATATTGCCGCTAATCTGGCACATGGTGATCGAAAATTGTCTTTTGGTCAATTTTTCGAGTGGGGTTCTCAACCAAGCACCCAACAACATCTAAAAAAAAACAATTTTTAGAGCTGAGTACCTTGGGCGCCGAGTGAGATGAGTATGGTTTATGATATGATTTGTAATGTGTGTGTGAAGTTTGAATGTAATTGACCAAGATTTGTCAGGGATAGAGGTTAGAGGTATCCTCAGGGGCGGACATCCGGGCATTTTCTACCGCCTGGCAACCCTCGCGGTGAAAACAAAGACCAAAAACTCGCAGAAAACGGTACTTTGCGATGGTTGATGAGAGTCCCCTGAACAGTGTAACAAGATTAGCCCTACGTGTGTAACATATATAAATTTGGTTGTTCAGGATTACTTCAAAGTTGAGTTTGTGTTGTTTTCTCGAGTTTTCACCAGCTCCACCGGCGTTCCACAGCAGCGCGCACAAAAGCCATAGAAATACGTGGTACAGTGGTGCGCGTCTTAGCAACATAGAACGTCCGTGACGTAGCTCCGCCCCCAAGGATAGAAGGGAGATGGATACCACACACACAGGGGTAAAACAATATGGGGTCATTGTACTGAGTTCAGAGAAAATTGAAGCATAGACAGATTTACACAATATGCGCACATGACAAAAACGCACAATAGCATTCTACCTAAAAAGGGCAATAAACAACATGGCATCCAAGAGAGCGCCCTCTACACATGTAACCCATAGCAACACTATCTTACTTGCTGTATCCTTTATAAACTGTTGCATAGGAACCTTCTCCCAACTGATTCAACTTCTGATAAGCATCCGCTTTCCCAAATGGTGACTCACTCTGAAAAGGTAATGAAAAAACAGAAGAAAAAAAAAACGATTTGCAATTATGTTGTTCATTAATGACGTCATGCATTCAAGTCAGAGAAATGAAAAAAAAAGTATAAAACAGTCTTGAATAATTTTGCTATGACTTCTGTTTGATAGTGAATTTCCTTAGGATTTGTTTCACGTTTTGAATCATGTTTTCTGTTTAAACTAAAAAAATAGAAGATTTTTTTTTCTTGTCCTAAGAAAAAATTAAAAATATTTTTTTTTTTGTATCACAGTAATTCAATAAATACCACAGTATCAAGATACACATAAACATTTATTGTATAAATGCTTAAATTGAAAACATGCATTAAAAAGTTTATTTTAATTGACAAAACGTGAAACATTTTACTATTCTGTCATATTTGAGGTGTACTTCACCAGTTTGCGAAATTGCAAAAACAAATTTGGGAGGTACAGGTTTCAAACTGATTCACATGATGACGAGAAATAAACATTTTTTTTTTATGACAGGGAAGCTATAAATAAGAAACAACTGACAAAAAACATCTCCTTCAATTTTCATGTTTTTTGAACCCAAACTAAAATTAAATTGTTCTAACTTACACCCAAGATAAGGCTTCTATGTCTTCTTCGAACCCAAGCTTTGTCGGCTTTGCTTTTCGTTTCTGTAAATACTTCATCTATGCTATTCCTGTGACTCGTTTCAATGGCGTCACTGTATGAGGAGTGTCGCTTCACCACGGCATGCCCATTAAACGTCTCATCTTTTGGGGATGGTTCGGAAAACCTCACATGATGATTGGTTATGGGAGATGGTGAAGAGGATGATGATGTCATGGTGATAGTTGGGATGGTACCTGTCGCCGTGGAGACACATTGTGGTAAATCAGGGGCAGGTAAAATGAAAGACTCTGGCCTGACTTTTGTTTCCTGAAATAAAATAAAAGAAAAGAAATAAATTTTAAAAATGTTGAAAATGAAAATTGTATGTGTATATTGTTGACCCCCCCCCCCCCCCCAAGAAATAAACATAAAAAAATCATTGATTGTAAGACACCTCCCCCTATTTTTTAATTTTAGAATATTTTCACTCTGTGGCTAAGATCATCTTACCATTGAACTCTATTTAGGTCGAAATCAGGGCTGAAACGTCAGGAGCCGAAACGTTCGGCATTCACAGTATGAATGTCAAATTAGTATTAATTACTTACATACATGTACGCATATATTTTTTGAAAAATTAGACAGCAGAGAAAAACAGTAAATGTTGCTAGTGAATAAACTCATGTCATGTCTTGTTTGTGTTTAAAGCAGGCTTTCTGTATTTATTTATTCAATGTATGACCACATTAGTAGTCACACTGAATTTGAATAGCCAGGCATTCATTTTTCTGCCTGCGGCGCTTCACAAAGGTCTTTAAAACAGGTAAAAGTCGGTCAAGATAAGCCGACAGAAAACACATTCTCGAATTTCAGTTCATTTAATAAGTGAATTCAGTGGTTTATTACGCAATAAATTAAATGACCCGCATAATCCTCAGAGATAAAAAACTGTTAATTTACTTCTATTAATAAACACGTCATCGCTAAAGACATGCATGTACATGATTACCAATAACCAATTTAAACATTTTATGAAAATGACTACAGTTCCTTCAGCAAAACAAAAACAATTGTTTTCCCGTTCCATTATGATAACACATGCACTGCTAATTGAGTAATGTGCTGACCAAAAACAAATCCTTTTTTGTTGGTCTTTATATAATTAGATTTAATTTATTTTCTGTGATTAACTTTTTAATTTGATTTGACTATTCAAAATTTGAATTTCAAAATTTCAAAATTTGATTTGACTATTCAAAATTTTTAAATATTTGAAAAAAATATTTCTCTCATGGAATTTAGGCTGATTGAAGTCTAAATTGCAAATTCTATTCTGACCTCTGACATTCAATCCTGAAATACTATAGACACAATTTTTTTTTACAAAAAACGAATTTAAAAAAAAAATTACATTCTACATTGTATCATTAAATTTGCGTAACTAGTTTAACATAAATAATGAGATAAAAAGGGTGAATCTGCAAGGGGTTTATTCATTTTTATGACAAATTATTCATTTAGGCTATAACTTCAATTCATAATTGATGATATCTGCCCTTTTCTTTCTCATTAAATAATGATTCCTCATCCAAAAGAAATATTCAAACCATTGAAATCTCAAAATTATTTTTTCTTTATAATTGATTTCATTTGTGTAATTTTTTAATATACAAATGTGCATGTACTATATACATAAATGAAAGTTATTTAAATTAGCAATTTCGCTTCACTGAATTATTTGGTATGAAACGGTACAGGGGAGAAGGAGTGGGAGAGACTATTTGGTATTTGTAAAATCTTACAATAAAATAGAAGTGAAATGACTTTGTCATATTTCACAAAATAAACCTGCATATTTCCTCCCTTATTTGTTCACATCTCATACTACAAACCCGCGAACTGCCAACCCTCCAAATGAACAGGAGCCGAAAATGAAATAAAAATATAATTTTTTTTCAGCGTAATTTCTCGCGCCCGCCGACTTGTAAGCGCAAAAAAATGCTAAAAAAATACTATTTTTATCTTCATTTTTTTACCGCCCGCCACATAACAAATCCAAGTTGCATTTTCGTGGGAGTATCATGATCAAAGTACCGAAGTCTCGCGCAGATGAGAAACAAGGTTATACATGGAATAAAATTTTATTTCATTTCTTCTCTCCGATCAATGATCTCACTTACAATTCTTTGAGAATCACACAAATCTAATGAAAAAAAAGAATTAATTTTATTTTTTTTCGCCCTCCTCGAAAAAAATTGCCATATAAAAACTCGCGAAACAAGGAATAAAAAAAGTCTTGCCTAAACAGATAGACAAACTTTTAAAAGACCATTTTATTCATACAATCAGGGCAAATGTGTTAAGTATATCCAAAATATTACACAGTTAAAAGGAGTGACACAGTTGACAAAATCAAACAGTAAACAACATCATCAAAATTCTGAAAGTCAAAATGAAGCCGATCAAGACAAGTGCACCAATATTGGCAATACTAGGAATGTTACCTTTGTTGACTTAATAAATGTATTAGTACACCATTTCAAAGCAGTTGGTTTTCACTAAAATTGTATTCATACAACATGGGATTGCTTATTTTTTTAGGTGATTGGAAGGTATTGAAGGAGTCATCGGTGGTAATTAGTGCAAGTCACGCCCAGGTCAAACCTCATACTTGTGATTTCCATTAGAAGAGCACATTGGATTGTGGGAAAATTAATGTTTATCAACACAAATGTCGCACATGCGCAGCGTGATGACCACCACCTTTTAATAAAAGTGTTTTGCGATTTGATTTACCTGTAGAAGAGTAAAGAAAATTGTCACAAAATATAGAAATCTATATTTAATTATTTTTAATTAAAGACATTGGTGAAGACAAAATTCCTTGAATGTCACAGACACTCAGTGTTATGGGACAACAGATAAATTTTTGCTGACTTGAATTTGACTGCAATGTGAAATTCGCACAAATTTGTCTCATTAAATTAAAGCGATTAACAGTATACAATGGGTTGAAAACACAATTGTTTTTTTTTTCGAAGGACGACAGACAGCCAACCACTGCTTCTTGACACATTGAGTCAGCAGGCGATGTTGAAGGATGCTGCACTGTGTATTTTTAGGCATATTCTTGTTCACATATGCATTGTTCAACAAGTATTCAACAAGCATCCCCCCAAGACTGGAAAATTCCACAGATTGAACGACAAATCAAGGATGTGCAATTTGTTGGGTCCATTTAGCACACTTACCCAACAGCAAATTCTATGGTTTAACAAAATTATGCTTACTGGTATTCAGACCAAATTTGGACAAACAAATTCTAAGAATGATGACATTTCTATTAAAAACTACTTTTTCCATCCCAGAAATGATGTTAATTTTATCAAAAATTACTTTTACACCATAAAATATAATTTTTTTTAGCATTATTCAGACCAAAATTTCCCTAGAATGATCAAAGGTTTAAGTTTGGATGGCACACCGAACTTTGCTTTCATTTTTAGGGTTGGTTATCAAAGTTTGAAAAAATCACCTTAAGTTTGTTTTTATTGACAGAGAAATATATTGATTTTAATCTAATTTGTTCACACCTTGAAAGTTGATGAGGAAATTTTTCAAAAAATATAGTACTGTAATAGATACATGTACTACTGTAAAATGACTAACTTTCACTGGGTTTAAATTTCACTGATTTACTGTACCATTTCAGGCATATTCAATGGGTTTTAAATTCAAGGTTTTATCATTTAGATAATGTGCTCTATGCTAAATTTTATACATTGACTGGGTTTTAATTTAGCGTATTTTCCAGTAAGTGAAATAAGCAAAATTAAAACCCAGTGAATAATTTTTAGGGTTGGTTACCAAAGTTTGAAAAAATCACCTTTGTTTTTATTTGACAGAGAAATATATTGATTTTAATCTAATTTGTTCACACCTTAAAAGTTGATGAGGAAATTTGTCAAAAAATATAGTACTGTAATAGATATATGTACTACTAGTAACCAGGATAATATTTTTTTTTTTTTTTAAATAATCTCCAGTTCGAGAAAAAGTGATTTTCTGGCATAAGAATAAAGCTATGAACTATATGTACATGTACATTAAACCCTGTATATATAAAGGAGTTTCCAAGGATCCTAAAATGGTGAAACAGCGAGTTGGTGTTTATCTTAGAAATGTGTGTCTATATAACATTCAATGGTTGATTTTTGTACTATCGGGGAAACTTGTGAATAGAAAATAAAATGAAATACACCATTAATCAGTTGACCTTATCACATGTGACATTTCGATGCAACTGCATGGGGTACACACACATGTACACATGTACGTTCATTTTTGATTAAACAGCCTCAAGAGTTTGAAAATTTTCATTAGTGTCCATAGTATTTGAGTATAAACCCCTAGTCACATATAGAACATCTAAATTACGTAACTAGGGGAATTGGTAATAATCCTCCCCCTGCAGCACCAAATTTGCAACCTTAGAAACACATGCGGTTATTAATAATTAACTTTTCCTTGCCATAATTTTTCCTGCCAAAATGTTTGTGCAACATTTTACAATATTTTAAGTAATTTTCGAATTTTTGTTTGTTAACTTTGGACCAAAAGCACATAACTGTCCATTGTTTATGAGTCTTGACCAAAATTGTTGAAAGAATATGAAAAAAATGTTGAAAATTGGTTAAAAAGTTGTTTGCTTGGTTAAAAGTTGAAACAAAAAATCTGTCGAAAAATTTACAAAACTATCATAACACATCTCACAAGAAGTTTGTGACAATCTAGGAAAGAGAGTGGTTTGAACCATCATTGCAACAGATGGCAATGAAGATAACATGTCCATAATTTCATGGTCAATCTAGCGAGTAGTGTAGTGTCTGGTAGTTATCTCAGTGTACTACTAAAACCTTTCAATATTAAAAGCAAATTTGATTCAAGATTTATCAGATAAACAAATAAAGTAAAATATAACAATACAGTGATTATCAAATATATCAACATGCATCTTAAATCACACCTTTTTAATAATTATATTCAGGTGTTTTGACCAACAATTTGCTCCATTGGTAGTGCATGTGCTTAGGTATATTACAGAGCATTGTCCGAATCGCACGGTCCCGTGTCTTCGACCTATAGGCCTCTACGATACCGTGCGGGATCGCATAGGCTAATTGCGTATCTTAAGCAGTGAGGTCTGATTGGGCGCGCCTCGAAACAAGGCAGCCAATCAGCTTGGACGTATCAAATT